GAGAGAGAGAGAGAGAGAGAAAAGGCACGCCCCTAGCAGGTTCCAGCCCCTGTATAAAGAGTGGGTATGTGCATTTTAAAATTAATTATTTTAAAACTAGTTATTCATCAATTTGTTGTGCGCTGTGTATGCAATATGTGGAGGGGATTAAACATTTGTATGGTTTCCCAAAATTCATCACGGCCCTCCAAGGGAAACCGTAACTACAATGTGGCCCGCGACAAAAATGAGTTTGACACCCCTGCATTGGAGCATTTAATCAATTTACCAATTTAAATCTGATTTTTGTCGTTCAGTTTTTTTCTTGACTTTTAAACCTGTTTTTGAACACAGCAAGCAATTCACACGTTGATCTCTGCTGAGCGATGTGTTGGTGAAAAAGGCTTCTCTTTGTTCGAGGCGAGGAAGCTCAGATTGGCTTAATCTCGGCCGAGAAGGCCTGACGAGTAGCAAGACAACTGTAACTGGACGCTAAGATATAACACAAACTGTTTTAGTTTGGAAACGTAGTACTGGATGTCCCATATTCGTGCATTTAATACAAATTCAGGGCAATGCAGTCCTGCGGGTGGTTGGGAAAATTAAGAACGACTTGGACACTTGTGTTCTAAATCGGGGGTCGAGAACCTATGGCTCTTTTGCTTTGGCTCGCAGATAAAACTAAATATTCTATATTTTGTAATCCACTCATTAATTTTTCACTGCTTATGTCCTGTAAAGCAGGGGCCCCCAACCTTTTTTGCCCCACGGACCGGTTTATGTCAGACAATATTTTCAGGGACCGGCATTTAAGGTGTGGTGGAAATAATACAAGAAATTAATATGGTATGAGCTGCATGAAAACTGTGGTGTTTTCGAAATATAATAATAAACACAAGGAGCGTCTAATGTGGCCGCAACACTCCGATCGCTATGGCAATGTTTAATGCCTTCAAAATACGATAAAAGTGCATGAAAATGACGACTCACCACAGCACCGAGCTTGATTTTCTGCAACCAGACGGTCCCATCTCGGGGTAAAAGGAGACAATGACACCTCAAGTGTGTGGTTTATGTCCAGTCTACTTCGATCTCGCAGCAACTCCGTTTTTGGATCCGTCAAGCTGATTATAATTCCGCGAGCTTTGCTCGCAATTGTGAGGCACGGAAAACCATTCACATGAATGTGAAATATTATAAGGCCAAACAAAAAAGATCGTGTGTTTCAAATAACATGAAATTTCAACATAGGGTCGGTTGGTCGGACAAAGTATTTTTTTCTTTCAGCTTTTTATATTTTTTCACCAAAAATTGAAACAAAATAACCATAAAATATTATTTTTATTTAATAGAATAACTAAGTCTCGTCACACGTTGTAGACCCACCTACCTTGGAGTTTTCGTCTGAAATTCTTTGTTTTTCTCCTTTTGTGAACGTGCTGCTTTCATCATGACATGGAATACGTCTACACTTTCTGTTTTTGCCACTGTTTCTTGTGTTTTTTCGATATATCTAAATCGAATCGATCTTAGGTCAGGTAAAGTATTTAAAACTTGAAACAGTGGCATATCCATATCATCAATGTCATAGAATTCCCCGTTGGCACATTGACACTGTGCTATTTTCACGTGGTTTATACTCGGCCCCTGGTGTTCATCAAAGACCGTATTTTCACAACTATAAGGCGCCATTAAAAGTCTTAAATTTTCTCCAAAATGGACAGGACGCCTGATAATGCGGAGCATCTTGTGTATGCGCTGAGTTCCAAAGCCTGACTGAGAGCCGACACGCTGTTTATATTGAGAAAAGGCGGAAGTGAGTGAGGACAGGCGTGCGGCGAAGAAGTCGGCCAATCTGTGAAGGGTGGGCGTGTGTGTGTGGATATATATATATAGAGAGAGAGAGAGAGAGAGAGAGAGAGAGAGAGAGAGAGAGAGAGAGAGAGAGAGAGAGAGAGAGAGAGCAG